TTTTTTTTTTTCACCCAAATTGTCACTTAGCATGGTTTTGCACTCACCCCTTCAATTATCCCCTGTTTTCCTGATAATGTTGGTACTACATGTATGAGAAGAAATTTGATTTTGATCACTCCTGGGCTTTAAAGGTTTGTTAAGATTAGCAATCCACTACTGTAACTTTCAATGTGCCTCTCCCACCTCTCAAGGAGTTATAAATCACTACTGAAAAACCATGAAGTAAAAATGTGTGCTTTAGATCCTAATGGCCCCTATGAGTGGTGCTTATCTCCTGCTAGGTCTTTTAGCTTAATCGGGCTATTCTTTTAGCATGAAGTGGCTATGAGTATTGCTTCCACACCCCTCCTCTCCTGAATGAACGCTAGTCTATCACATGGCTATAAATTGCAGTGTTTAATTTCACTAACACCCAAACACCAGGGAGGAGAGAGATTAATATATTATCATTTCATTAGTCTACATACTTCTATAATATTCTTATAGAATAAAGACACGCCTCTTCACTTGGCTGTTACTAGTAAATGTCCACAGTGTGTTGCACTGTTGTTAAATGCCGGTGCAGTTTCTACAATGGATGTGCAAAATAAGGTACAGTAAAATTCACAACTTATGATATTATGTGATTCTGTGTCTGAATAATCTCCTATTTTCCTGTAAATAAACTGGTAATACAGCCTTGTATACAGTGGAATCCGATTTCTCTAATGATAACTCGAACCAAAAGTAGTTTCCCTCCTCTCAGTCTGTCGCTGTAATTTTACTCCTCAAACTACCTGTTTTTTCAAACCAGTTGTCATTTCCCTTAGACATTCAAAAAATCAGGATTCCACTGAATATCATGATTTTAAATCGTTTTTTGGCATCAACCCTATGTGCAAATAGATATATTTTAGCCAATATTGATCTACCTTTATTTCTGTTACCACAATGATGTTGGAAAAAGGCAAATGTGACTGATGTGTTGGTGGATATGAAACTGTCCTTTTCATTAACTACAACTATGTGTTTCATTTAACAGAATATTATTGTCAGTATCATTTGTGATTACATTCCATTTTGTTTTCATCACAGCAAGGCCAAAATGTGACTGATTATGCAAAAGAACATGGTAACAAAAAAATCCTCTCACTTCTGGAAAATCCTCAAAGAGCCAAAGAGGTCAGTTTGTTTTATCAGGATTCAGGAACCCGCCTTACAAATTCTGTCTTTTTTCCACAATTTTCTTAATACAAATTTTTCTTGCGTTGCATGTCTGATCAGTTGCCATATCAAAAATGGAGTCAGCATATTGCAAAATAAAGAGACAGTTTGTCTTTGGATTTCATAGACTTCGATCTCATATGATGTTGCTTCATAAAAACTGAATTTGGTGTTGTTAGTTACGTATTATAAACTTGTTATTATATTCAACAAATATTTTCCGAAGGCAAAGTGAACATTGGTGAATATTTACCAGGACAAAGTCAAAGTAAATATTCAGCAATGTTCACTGAACCTGAGGCGAATAATTGTGTTAGTATATCAAGAGCTACAAAATAACAGACTAAAACATGGAACGACAGACATGATTGTTTGTTTGCTCTCTCATATGCAGCTGCAGTAAGCTTAAATTTACATCGATTGTGAATCAATTTACTTATCAAGTGTTAGGCATTAAAACAAACAAGCAAAACTCGACTAAAAATAAATTCATCTGATACCTTTGTTGCTTGGTGCTGGTTTCATTTGCAGTTGTACTCACCGGCTAAACACAAGTAGCTCCAGTTTAAAGAAAAATAATTTTTGATCACTCTATCTGACCTGCTGGCGATCAACAAAACCACTGCGTTTACGATTCTTAAATGCATCAAATACGAGTTCTTGAAAACCTTTTTTGTCTAGGGGCAGCAAAAGTCATTTTAGATATTCCCCATGCTTTCAAGTATCCAAAACTTGGTGTGATGTCTTTTGAATATTATTAAACAAAAATTTCATTATAATAAGCAACTGTCTGCCATGTTTACTTGCCAAGATGGCAGAGATATTGAGCTTAGTTACCAAGCTTCAGAGATGTTATATTCACTGCCTAGCATGGTGAATATAGCATCAAATTCTTATATTCACCTCTGGAAATTATACTTAAAGATATTATAATCAAATGATCTTTACTGCTAAATTTTTAAGAAGATTGTGTTCATGATTCATAAATAAATATATTTGAGACAATAAGTTTTGTTGGCCAGTGTTTTTGAAACAAATTAGTGGAAATTAGAGATAAAGTATCAGCATATTGCAAAACATATCAGTAACATCACATAATAAGACCACAGTGCTCATTTTCAAAAAGATCGGAGAATGCATCAAAGTTAGGAGGACCCATGTCTATTTGTTTACCAACTTGGTAATGCATATTAACAGCACATTGCTTGTAAGAAAGGTAGTTAATTTGATCTCTCAACTAATGAAAAAAAAAGCAAACTAAATTGTACAATGAATTGACCTAGCTAAATTGACATCCACTGTAAAATTTATTTCAGTTGTTCCAGGCGAAGCCCAAGTCAGCTAATTCAATGTCAGTGCTTGGAAGAGGTGGCTCTGTGGAGTCAGATAGTTGTAAGTGATTCCTTGACCCACATTGGATATTTGAGTGTGATTTGTTTCTTATCAGTGATAGCAGAGCTCCGGCAGCCCAGAAGAATGCCAAGCAGAACACCATGACTAGAGGAACAGAACCACATACAAGCATAGAAATAGAAACCCACACAACTACATGTATTTTATCATGATCAGCATGAGTAGCAGCATGGATTGTGGACATGTGCACCCTATGATAATGATGACATCGTGCAACTTCAAAAAAATTTGCATGATGGCCACTCCAGCCACTCCTACTGGCTGGAGTAAGGCCACTCCAGCTAGTAGGAGTGGCTGGAGTAAGGCCACTCCAGCT